ATCGTAAAACCGTAAATAAATAACCGATATATCATATATACTTACCCTTTGATTATTTCGTTCGATTTGCGAAAAAATCTCGCTTATCGAGTAATTTATTGCCAGTAATATCTGCGCAATATCTTCTGTTTTGTCACGTACTCAGATGACGCGCAAAGCAAGCGTATATATCTACTAAAAACAACGTATATTTTTGCCACAAACATCCCGTAAACATGAATCGCAGCTCCGTTTAGGATGCATGTTTATGATGCTTTTGCAGTAAAGATATATGTAAATTGTTTCCAGCAATAATATGTAAACTGCTTAAAATGGAGCCTGCAGGTGTAAATTGTTGATGCAAAAATGTAACAAATATCAAATTTGAAAAAGAAAACCGTTGCTTGAAATAAATTCAGTACTGTTGCTGCAGAGTATTTGTAAGCGCAGCTTTACATGCATTATTTATATTATTTGCGTAAACACTTTTATGTGCGTCACGAGTTTATGCACGTATATTTCGTAGTGTTATAAAATTAATATATGCTAAATATTCTGTTCTTTATATTTCATTGAACTTGATTATGTCGAATCCTTTGCGCTTTAATTTATGAATTTATTAACATCGCCTTTGAAGCTACTAATCCCTTTCGATTGAGAGTTCAGAAATATCATAATAATAACTTTCAATTTTAATACACAATTTAACACGTGCATAACAGAAAATTGCAAGAGTTTGATTAATATGTAACGAGAAATTTTATAATGTACTAATAATAAATTTTAAATATAAATTGTTTAATCGTTGTTTTTAAATAAAAAATCGAATAAATAGTGTATTTCAACAATAATATTTATCTTTGTTTTAATAAAGTTTTTATTTCGACCGCTAATAAAGCTTTTATTTTTAAATCTCGAATAATTAAAGATTTATACAATTGCGAAATTATATTTAGAAAATTGACGTTCAAATTAAAATCTGACTTGTTAAACGTTAAATATAAGTAGGTAAATATCTAAGCTTATTATACAGTTAATACGTTAACAGAATTATGTTTAACACAAAATATTAATCATTGTTTTAGTCTCACGGTGAAATATATTTAATCGTTTATTATTAATGAAGTGGTCGAGACGCTTACAAATTCATTGCACAATCTTCCGCGAGCGGAGGAGGTTCCGCATATACATGTACGCTTTATATTCAGATAAATCTTCAACCATTAGCCGGAACAACTTTGCGATAAAAATATACGCGCTGTAAAAATAAATTAAGAAACTTCAGAAAGTGCGTAAATAAATAACGGTACCTATAAGCTCAATTCGCGAAACGTAGCAACAATTACTGCTAATTAGCACAGCGTCGATCGTTACGAACACGGCAAGATTCCGATAACCCTGGCGCCTTAATTTGACGATGGTTTCTGATAGTACTTTTAACGTTGAACAAAAAATTATATAGGTTTTATAGGGCTTTGGTTTTCGAGATATACAGGGTTAAAGTTTGGTAAAACTTTAGTTAGCCCTACAACCATCGTCGAATTAAGGCGCCAGGGTTATCGGAATCTAACCACGAACACTTATCATTCGTGTATCTTACATGTTTTATAAAGAAAGTACAGAGAGACATATAATTAAGAAAAAAAAATACACCAGTAGACATTAGTGTACGTAATACAGCATATAAATGCGATGAGTTGTGGATTTTCGTCTGTAGTACGAGACAGAGAGTATGGTCGTTCGCCGTAAGTACGAGAAACACACATCTCAAGTTACTTGCCATAAACGAAATCATTTAAGCGTACTCGTGCGGAAGGGAGACAATCGCGACGTAGCGCGGCTGTCGAAGCCTTCCTTTCGCGCTAAAAAAAAATTGATAAAACGTAATATCTATATGTACATCAATACAAATGTGCTATTGGTGCGGCTCCGATCTGTTGGAAGCACTCCAACGTAGTTTATTTATCACAGTAGCACCCCGACTGACGTCACGCCTATATCTAAATCGCGCGAACGCTTCCTGAAAATCTGTGTACTCGATCGGATGAATTCAACCATTAAGAATCGTAACGATTTTAACCGCTAAACGAACCGAGAATACTCCTCTCCTAGCCCCTGTGCATATTCACAGAGTTACGGTGTACTTTGTTTCGTAAGCTAATTGTATCGTACGCGTCGACGAGACGTCGACGTCAGCACCTGCATTTTACGCGGATAATCCTACGACGCGTCTCTGTGTATGTAAGATTCTTGAGCATCCACCGTTTTACGAGTGAATCGTGCATTTGTGTTTACTTTTAATCTTTCTGCGCGAGCAATTACCGGCCTAATACGATAGTTAGGAAAAGATAATGTCCTGCTTCATCAGCTCGGTCGCGCATTTCGTGGGTCATATACCGAGATAGCTGCAGAGGATAAATGCGCCGCATATACATATCACTATCAGTATAATGACAAACCAGAAGGGCAGTGTATCTGAAATGTTAAAAAAAAAGAAGCTTATTAATTTCAATAAACTCCAAAAGTAACCGTTTAATCGTTCGCTTCGATAAGATACCTACGTCTGAACGGTATGCTGTGTATACATATTCTGTTGTCCACGGAGATACTGACGACCGCGGTCTCCGTGTTGCTGGTAATCGCTGGGCCGTCCAGTTTCGTTGGCAAGAATTCCAGACCGGTGACGAACATGCTGTGCGCCCCGGGTACGTGGAGCGCCTTCCTCAAGCTGAACGCCACGAATATGTCGACGCTGCCCGAGAACATCGTGCCGACGGCGACGAACTTACCGTCGTCGGAAACAGCCAACGCTGACAGCGTTTCCTTGTAGGAAGCGGATTTGGCGATGACCCCGGTATGGACGTCCCACAATTGAAGGAAACTGGGATTCTTCCCCGCGACGGCGTTGGAGAGCACGAACAGATCGATCTTCGTCTTGTCCTCCGCCGACTTTCGGAATCGGCACCTTTTGTACATGTACCTCGCACCGTCCGACGGTGTCCAAGTGAGCTCCTTGTTCCTCGTACCGTCGCTCACGTTCCATAAAAAGGCCTTGCCGTCCTTGGCGATGCTCACCAGCAGGCCGCCGCCCGGACTAAAATCTAGGTCGTCTATCTCCTTCCCGTGCGCTTCAAGATCGTGCAATTTGTACAGCTGCGGGAATTTCCATAATCTAATTCGACCGTCCGTGCCGCCCGTGGCCATAATCACCCCTTGCAAGCTCACCCTGACGACTCTTTGTAAAGGCTCGCCGTTCCTGTAAGCGAAGATGTTTTCTCGTTAGAAATCAGCCTAATGCTTCTTCGACGTAAATAAACGCAGCGAACTGTCTTACCCGAAAGCCGTCTGCACGCTGTCGGCGGGTTTGAGAATTAACTGCAGCTTCTTGCTCTTGACATTAGAATTGTCGTCTTTGACCTCCTCTATCCTTTCCTTCGGCGGCTGAACCTCCTCGACCTTCTCGCTGTTCCTTCTGTGCCTGAGGCCTTCCTTGTTAGCCATCGCTGTCGGTCCCTTAATCAATTCTCCGTTCTCCAAAGTCACCACTTTAGGATTCACGTTGTACAGTTGACAGTGGCTCTCTTGGCCGGCAACTATCCACGTCTTCTTGCCGTTGTTATGCGAGGCGCAGTTCATGACCACGCTGGGACCCGTCTCGTGCCTGGTCACTTCCTCGGCGACAAAGTGTGCTCCGTTGTGTGATAATTCAAAAATTTCCTGCAACAACAGACTGAATTAAAAATACCCGCATATAACGCTGATGTATCAAGGTCCTGAGTCAATAAAAAAAAAGAGAACTTTACGAGAAAAAATCCCAGATAGTCAAATCTGTGTTGAAAACTTGCAAAAGTAGGTATATCTGTTATAATATTTATGGCAGAAATATAACGAAATCTGCTGGCGAAATGTGATGAGAAAGAAATCAAGAATCTGCCATTTCGTAATTACCTAAATGTCCTGAATGACGTAATACATTTAAATAGTTACGAAATGACAGATCCCGCTGGCAATCTGGGACGCTGAGAAACTCACAAATCCATTGGCAACGCCAGTCTTGGAGGAGCCGCCGCCGCCTCCCACCAGGATGTGCCTGCTGGTGAGCATCTGCAGGGTGTAAAGGGGGAAGTTGACCCTGGCCAGGAGGCCGCCTTTGTTCCTTCTGGAGGGCATGACGCGGCAGATCTCGCCGTCCAGCGATCTTCCGGCTGCTCGCGGCGTGTATCAGGTGATCCCGAAGGAACGGCGCGATATCCCCTCTGGGGGAGTCCCTCTGGGTAGCCTGCCGGGATCAGCACTGCCCGGATGGATCGCGCGCGCGACGCCCGCGTCCCATCGTCGCCTCCGGGAACAGCTGTTGATACGGGAACACACGCGGCTCACGTGTCAACCAGTCACCACCGAACACGACGGACCCGTAGACTTTGCGCGGACATAATAGCCGATGGATACAACACGCGCGTTCCACGTTCCACGTATTCAGTCGGAGCGGCGCGCGGTTGCGCGCTCCGTTTGCGAGATCGCGCCACCGCGACGTCCAGCGACGTCGGGATCGGGATTGCAGAATGAAAAATGAAAGGAAAAAAAGGCGAAACTGCGAATAAATCAAGAGCAAAATATTATGAAATTTTACTAAAATATATTTTGAAATTTTCTCTCAATCGACCCCATTTCGTTGTTATTCCATTATTATTCCATCAATATTTCAGTAAAAACTCAGTTTCCAGTAAATTTAACTTTTCTTATATTTTACAGTATTATATTACATTTTATATAAGGAAAATTGTGATTTATTTTGAAACATATTCAGTAATTTTTCAGTAACTTTTATTTCACTTTTCATACTTTTAGCAAATTTCAATTTGATCGAATTCCAATGTTCCACGTTGGTTCCAGCGGGAAAACCGATGGTCGATACCGCTTTGCCGATCGAGGGAGCTGACCCGTTTCTCAGTCAGCTGTGAGCTGCGCCACCGAAGCCCCGCAAAATGGCAGGTGCCATAGTGCGTTGTTTTCAAGTCCCGAGGAGACAATTGGGTGAGTTTCGAGCGTCCACTTGTTATTTCGGCCACGCGAGCTGTTGCGAACCGCGAACAGGCCGTCCGCGATGTAACGGCGAGCGAGCGTGGCCCCGCGTGCTTCCGAAGGCGCTGCTCCGCTCGCCACGACTGGCCTACGAGGTTATGTAATTGAGAATAATTTTGCGCTATATTTAAAGGTCTCCTCGGATCGAGCTTGAGCAGCCTGCAGCAGAGAACGTTCGCCGATGCCGCCCCGGAAGGAAAGGTGAGGCTGTTACTCGACGTTCGTCTTAGTTGCCCTCCATGGCCCCACCTCTCCTGCCTCCACAAAGTCTCGACGTGCCCTTATCTTGTTTCAAGTATAGCCACAATGAACGAGAATGTCAAGTGGTGTTTGCATTGTTATCGTCTTTCTTTCTTTCGTAGAAAAGAGGAGGGCCCCTGGCCGATGAGGATCGCATCTTCACGAACCTGTACGGTAGACATGACTGGCGGTTGAAGGGTGCCATGAACCGCGGCGACTGGTACAAGACTAAGGAGATAATGGACAAGGGTGCCGATTGGATCATCAATGAGATCAAGATTTCTGGTCTGAGAGGCCGCGGCGGGGCCGGCTTTCCCTCCGGGATGAAGTGGTCCTTCATGAACAAGCCTTCCGACGGTCGGCCCAAGTATCTGGTGGTCAACGCCGACGAGGGCGAGCCGGGTACCTGCAAGGATCGCGAGATTCTACGCCACGACCCGCATAAACTCGTGGAGGGCTGCCTGATCGCCGGTCGCGCCATGGGAGCGTGTGCCGCTTACATCTATATACGCGGTGAATTTTACAACGAGGCGTCCAACATGCAGGTAGCCATAGCCGAGGCCTACCAGGCCGGTCTGATCGGGAAAAACGCCTGCAACTCTGGTTACGACTTTGATATCTTCGTGCAACGAGGAGCGGGCGCGTACATCTGCGGCGAGGAAACCGCTCTCATTGAATCCATCGAGGGAAAACAGGGGAAACCGAGGCTAAAACCACCGTTCCCGGCCGACGTCGGCGTGTTCGGGTGTCCCACAACCGTCACCAACGTCGAGACCGTAGCAGTGGCGCCTGTACGCATCACCGATACATTTTTCTTTCTGTTTTACTTTATTTACTTCATTCATTTTACTGATAATATTATCCGCACAGACAATCTGTCGCCGAGGTGGAGCGTGGTTCGCCTCGTTCGGACGTCCGCGCAATCACGGAACCAAGCTGTACAACATTTCCGGGCACGTGAACAATCCGTGCACCGTCGAGGAAGAAATGTCCATCCCTCTGAAAGAGCTGATCGAGAGGCACGCGGGAGGCGTGATCGGAGGATGGGATAATTTATTAGGCGTCATTCCCGGTGGCTCTTCGACCCCCGTCATTCCTAAGAGGTAAACAAAGAGATCCTCAACGACGATCAGATTAACGTTTCGAGAGTCACGAGAGTCGGAAAATTTTAGTGTGTGCGACACCGTCCTGCTGGACTTCGACGATCTCATCAGGGTACAGAGCTCGTTCGGCACGGCCGCGGTGATCGTGATGAACAAACAGACGGACATAATCAAAGCCATCACCCGTTTGATAAGCTTCTACAAACACGAATCATGCGGCCAGTGCACACCTTGCCGCGAGGGAATCAGTTGGATGTACAAAATACTGAGAAGGTGGGCGTTGATAACTTTATCTCGTTCATAAAAAATTATTATCCGGTTTTGTAACAATTTTGTTTTTTTTCGCAGATTCGTGGAAGGTAACGCCGAGACACACGAGATAGACATGCTATGGGAGCTTACGAAACAAATAGAATTGCACACGATATGCGCTCTGGCGGACGGTGCCGCGTGGCCCGTGCAGGGTCTGATCAGGCATTTCAGGCCAGAAATCGAAGCGCGCATGAAGGAACAGAAACGAGCGGCGTCAAATTGAGAACTCGAGCGAGATAGAAACAGATTAGACGGAATATAACGGCAGAAGATATTTAGAGCAATCCTTGTAAGATTTTATATTTATTTTCGGTGTATATAAATGAATCTAAACAATAGTCACGATTCCACTGTAATGATATTCTTCGAACCCGGGCTATGTCCTGGAGGTTCGACTAATAAAAGAAATATAAGAGAAAAACTGGCTATATTTCTATACGTGTCTATATACGTAAATTGTAAGTAGACGTGCAACTTAACACGATCGCGTATCGCACGGGTTTACATTGAAAATATCGTAACGTTTAACGTTCACATTTACGAAGGAAAGTAAAACCGGCGAAGCAAAGTGCTTGGAGCAAAAGTTTTCGTTTAATGGCGGTCATTCACCGGAAACCAGGAGAAATGATCGTATATTTCGGGCGCTTTAGTACGAGAGGAAAATTGATACTATGCTTTTAAGATTGGTTTAATAGCGTGATATTGTTAAGGAATTTATAAGTTCTAATCTATCCTACACAGATCGCGCAAGCGATCCATCTTACCTTTTCAAAGATGACACTCGGGATGAAACAGCAGCATAAGAATATGAACTGGCCGACGTGAAGTTTCCAGAGAGAGATATACGACCTCGGAGAGAAGATCGTGTGCGCAGAAGTGTGAGAAGATTCGATTTATCCTCGAATACTTCGCCGAGTTTACTTACAGCCATACAAGCTAACATTTACCTCCCGCGTTTTCTTATGCAAACAGCGTGCTCCCCGTTACGCGGTTTTTACGAGACTTATGTTACGCTTTGCATTGCGGGGCTCTCAAAGTAACTTGCCACGAGTTATAGCAACAGTATAACGGCATCCGGCGATGAATTATGCGAAATAAATGATACGACTATTGAATGGAAAATATTTTTGCCGGAACACCGGAGAATGAAGCAGGAGGAGCCGGCCGCTCTCCTCCATGAATCATGCATACGATCCACTTACGAGCTCGGGGTGAAACGTAAAACCGGGCACGTCCGGAGATGAGGATGTTCGCCGGCAGTTTTATCGAACGATACTTTGCATTTTATTCGTTCATCATACAAGAGAATTCACTAGCGCTAAAACGTTCCGCCGGCTACAATACGGATAATAATGTGACTTTAGATACGGTACAATGTGCGTATACAATACATATATACAAAAGCACGTTCGCTTGTTCCGCAGACCGTTGCGTCTGCTCTCCCTGTCTCTCGTTTCTCTCGCACTCGCACACTCTCTCTCTCTCTCTCTCTCTCTCTCTCTCTCTCTCTCTCTCGTTCTCTCCCGCTCTCTCGCTCCCCTTTCTCGCTTAGCGCCACTAAAGTCGGAACTGTCTTTTTCGCGGTTTCTCGAATTATCGTTAGTTTACTCTTAAATAATAGATTTAAGCTAGCCGTTACATTCTCGGGGTAGCTCGTCTCCTCTGGCGAGCTATCCCGCTTGTGTTAGTAAGCGCACACACTGTCTTTTATGATAGGTCCGTTGTGTTACGTTATCTCCGTCTCTCTTATTCTCTTTCTCTATGTATACATATATTATACATATATTATCTATACCAAATCCATTTCATTTCGTCGCGAATCCGATATTACGTTCCCCTTTATCTTCGCATCTCCTTTATTCATGACTCGCGGGCAGTGATGGCAAGATTGTTTTTTTGTCCCAAGTGCTCGCTCCAGATTGAAAAAATGTTTAGGCACGATACCGATACACATTTTCCTTGAACATTTTTAGGCACTAACCCATTGTATATATTATAACCAGCGTTAAACCTTAGGTAAAGAGGATAACTGCTTCTTCCGATAGTCGTATCTTGATCCTATCGAGTGTCCGATTTCAGGAAGAATCTATCAAGTTAATAGCTATGCCAGCCCTAAAAGCAATCGTCCCTAAGGCTCTCACGCTCTCGTTTCTAAAACTAAAACGGGGAAGCTATTCTAAAGATATATATATATATGTACTTAGCAAACACACAAATTTTTCGACCGTGTTCTAAACGTAAATTAACAGCGTATATACGTCGCGCGGCAGTGCGAACTTAATTTAATTTAAATCTCGTTGATACGGCACGTCGTGGCGTAATAATCGCAGGTCATAGCACTTGTCGTCGAAGATCATCCCTCGGCAAGCATCCAGACGCGGTCGCGCGTGAATTGGCCCCGTTTAGAAAAGAGAAGTGTCCCGGATTATGACGTTTTGAGAGTCGAAGAGTCGCTAATTTCATCGGAAGGCATAGTAATCTGATGCATTCGCCGCGTCTGTAGCTTCGCCCAATCGTTTCTGGATCACTTCCCATCACTGCTCACGACGACTTAACGATCTCTCTCTTTCTCGACGCCAAAATACAGGCCTCTGAAGCACCGCGTCACACGCGGAGCTTGTCTGCTCCGTGTGTTTTGTCGCTTCGGGCCCCGTCCCTGTCCGCCCGTTCTTGCAAACACTTCGCGCCGCGTGTTATCGCGCAACGCATGACGCGAAACAGGCCTCGTATGCGCGTACGAGGGCTTCTTCGACATCGCGCGTGTGCAGAACACAATCGTCATGAAATAAAAAAGCTCACGAAATAGCAATTTCTGCCGATCGATCCCTGCGGTATACGCGAATCGGAGCGAACGGCGGACGGAGGACGGAGCCTGACAACGTGGAAGCTGGCGGCGGTGGAGAAGACGCACACGCTTCTCGCGTGTCCTTCGCGGCCTCTCGAAGACGCACGGAGACGAGAGAACGCGACGACTTTGTATAATAAAATAAAATTGTAGCACGCGCTTATCCACTCGCTCTCGGATTGTACTTGTTTTGCGAAACACCTTGTCTCTTCCTTCTGTCCGGCCCGACCACGCGCGCGGACGGGCCGCGCTCTTCTCGAGGCCGACGAGGACATCTCGAGAAGAGCGTTACATTATGCACGATATGATTGAAAGCTCGCTGGTCGCACGCTCTTTGGCATGATCATTGGCTGTCTTCTGGGCAAGATCACGCTTATTGTTGGAGAACCCTGCCGCTGGACCCGCGCCACCGCGCGCACTGGTTCCCCACTTAAATATCTGCCATAAAAATAGATGCGCCTCTATCGCGGTTCCCGCACGTCAGTCCCCTACCCTATGCCCACTTCGGGAGGATACGGTTCCATCTCCTTCGTCTTACTCCTCCTCTTTCTCCCCCGATCGGCGTCTCGCCCCGATTCCAAGGAGTCTATTCTCGAAACCGTGCGAAAGAGCGTTGCGCGCACGTGTGAATGGGAATCGGACCGTCGCGTCGTCCTCAATGAGGAACGTAGTCTCATCGTCGGTGAACGTAAGAAATAATGCCGTTTACTTACTCGCGCGCGCGGTCTCGAGAATACGATACGCAGTCGGCGGTGTCCTTCGGAGAACTTGGCGAACTCGGCGCGATAGGAGACTGACGACCGCGAGTAACAGAGATACCATATCGGGGAGATTTCCTCTAACAGCGTTAATATACGATTAATACCGACGTTTATTTCTCTGTTCCTCTCGATCTCTCTCCCTCTCGTTCAAATTCACGATGTTTTACGGTAATCTTTCTCTTAACGAGTATATACTAGCGATACACAACCACTGTACGATAATACGGAAAATCGCAGGGCTTCGTTGAAATTGTTCCAAAGCCGATCCCCGCCGGGGATAAATTTATCTCCCAGTTATAGCTGACTTCTGTCAAGCCGGAGTATTGAGGTGGATTTGATGCCAAAAGCAACACCGCCGCCGAATATAATCGATATCGCCTATTCACTTCCGTCCGACCGAAGTCGAATCTCGAGTCAAATTCGAAGCCACGACGGTGATTTACCGAGAACATCTCCCGAGAACGTCGGATCGAGTCAGGACGAAACGCGTCACATACATATATACTACCGCTGCTCCGCGCCCGATCGTTTATTCTCGGATGATAAGACATTGCTTCTGCAAAGCGCTGGAATTTTGAGAAATGGATCGAGCGGGTATATCTCCCGTGAATCAAAATGTTGCCGTAAGATCGGGGGGGAGTAAGTTGCGCGCGCGAGCCGGACGACTTCTCCGCGACTATAGAAAATAGACGAGAAACGCGCGGCTTTCCACGTTTCTACGTCATAAATCAAGATGAATGATACGATCCATCGAAATACCATGCCATCTCCGACAGACGCATCAATCTTCCCTTACATGTTAGGGGTATCTCGCTCCAGTGGCAGTGACTTTTTAACCGCCGCTGCTCATAAAAGTGGCCGAAGACTCTTACCGCGATTTCCAGAATATACATTTGTCTCAGTCTGCTGAGAGCGTTCGTGCAAATAATTTTTATATACAATTTCTATCGCGCGGAATCGTAACTAATACGAATCTCGTCCGTATTACAATCAAAAATTAATCATATTCTTCTGCATATATCGCGAATTGAAATAAAAATAGAGTTATCATCAGCCTTTGCCGCCTCGCTGTACGGCCGTAATTTTATCGCTAAAACATTTCGATAAATATTCCAATAATGTAATCACAGATCGCCTATATTTGTTACAATATACCTTTCTGAGGGGGAAAAAATTACTATTCGTCATTAATTCGGAAGCTACAACGAAGTCCTGCGACTTGTAAGATCCACATTGACCGACCCGACCGTGCAAGAACATTCTTATGGCTGTTACGCGGAGAGAAACGATCGTAGGAACAATCATTGCACCTTATTACATCTCGACGTGACTTTACTGCGTAACTGTACAAGGCGCTCTAGGTTTACTCGGAGGAAACGTGGTTGATTTGAGAAAATCGGAACATGCTCCGCGGCAAGACAAAAATAACAAGTAATAATGATCTGATTTATTAGCTGGCTCCCAAAATCAGGACAGTTTTACGTAGGTAATAGGATCGGTAACAACGGTTGTCTTTTGTCGCTATGATTAATCCGCATAATAACGTCGCGTCTCGGACCGTTTCCCCGCGCAAGATCGTCCGCGTGTGAGGGATTTGCGTGACTCTCTGCCAGAAATATAATAACGGAACGAGAACGACGTCCGCGCGCGCGACGGGCGAACTTGCCGCGAGAGAACGAGCGGTGACATTTCTGCGCGTAAACGGCGGGCTGCCGTCGGAATTGGTTTCGCGATAACGCCAAGTTGTCGCATACATATCGACGACGGACGACGACGAGTTGCAGAAATGTAAGTATCGAGCGACGTGAGATTGTTCCAGCAATCCCATTTCTCTCGGGCCGCAGCACCCCGAAAAGTCCGACGGCCAAGTTGCAGGGGTATGCACACGTCTCTGCTTGCCTACTGTGTGTATACGTTTGTGTGTATGTGTATTTGTCTACATGTACTTGCTTGCGCACGATGGTCAAGATCGCTCATTGGCGGATGGAAGGCACGGGGTAAGGATATCAAAAGGGGGGGTCGAGACTCGACGACGGCAATGACGACGATCGCTCGCCGAGGAATCCGCGTGGATCGTCCTCGATCGCGTCGTCCGAACTATCGATCGTCGCCGGTCCAATCGCTCGCCGCCCACGCGGGCAGAGGCGTCTCGTACTCCCATCCCGGGCCGCAGTAACGCCACGCGTGCAGATACATCACCAGGTCCGACGGCTTCGGGTCCCTGTACTTGACTTTGCACTCGTAGCAGTGCGGGTCGACGGTGACCTTGTCGTTGGCGAAAGTGGAATCCGGCGGTTCCGAGCCCGTCTGCGTGCCCACGGTGACTTTGAGGGATTCCTGCTGCTGCGGCTGTTGTTGTTGCTGCTGCTGCTGCTGCTGCGGCGGCAGCGGCGGCGGCGGCTGCTGCTGCTCGTCCTCGACCAGGCCCGGGGTGGACGACGGCGAGGAGCTGTTGTCCTTGTCGCTGCCGGAGCCCAGCATCCGTTCCTCCAGCTCGAGCTTCGGCTTGAACAGGCTCATGTCGGAATCGCCGTCCATGCCGAGCCAGTTCTCGGCGTTGTGGATGCTGATGAGATCCCGGACGAGCTCCTCGTCGGTCTTGCCGATGTTACCGCCCTTACCCTTGTGCGGGCCGAAGACCACGTGATTGTAGAGCGGATCGTTCACCACGGGATAGCCGAGGTACTGCAGATGCACGCGGATCTGGTGCATGCGCCCGGTCTGCGGCTTGCACAGCACCACCGACGACTTGCCGTTGTAGCTGAGACGCTTGAAGCGGGTGACGCAATCCTTGCCCTTTTCGGAGACCTTGCAGACGCCGATCTTGTAGGAGACGACCTCGATCGGCTCCGAGCAGATCACCTCCTCCTCGGGGAACTCACCCTCCACTCGGCACACGTACTGCTTGTGGACCTGGAACGTGGAGACACGGCATACAACACACGGAACGATTACGCGCGGTCGGCTCGTCGTGTTCGCCAACGTAAGCGTGTTTGTTCAACGACGGACGAGCGACGCCAGCTGTGCGACGTCTCTCACGTTTTTTTCTCGCATACCCGGAGACGCACACGACTTACGCAACCAACCTGTCGATTTCTTATTTGGTGCTCCATCTGCCTCGCCTTCTTCGGCGTCCTGCCGAACAGGAGGATGCCGCTGGTCAACCGGTCCAGCCTGTGAATAGTCCTGAGGTTCTTCAAGTTGTACTCCTTCGCCAAGATGAAGACCACGGTGTTGTGCCGGTAACGACCGCACGGATGCACCTGCGAACAGAGACACGAGTCAAACATTTTATCCTCGCGCAAAGCGCGTTTGAAGAGATAAGGATCTGGATTCAAGAATGTATTGTCCAAGTACTAGATATATGAAATCCGAATGTACCAGAGAAGGAAAACGTCGAGACTCTAACGTAGCTTCGTTTCCCGAGTTCGAAGCATCTAGAATTGCATCTCTTCAGTATTTCACGATAGACCTTTCATCGAGTAACCAGAATATCTTCAGGAAATGAGATGTGGACGGTAAATTTACGGAGCTTACCACTACTTAAATGTACTCGCGTGGTCTATCGGCATGTGGCCAATGTAAATTCGATGTAGGCACACACATACACACACATATACACACACACATATGATCGTACACGTATGCATCCGCACAAGAACGATCGACCCATTTCTCCTGGCAAATTCGGGACAAAAAGCAATCGCGCGCCCACAAAGGAGGGTCGATTCATCGTTTCGAATCGGCATGGCACGGGGAACGGCGCGCTTTATGCATTTCGGCCGACGATGCGGATCTGCATTGTAGGTATACAACGTACAACGACCGGGCTGGCTGACTCTAGCTGGCGGATCGTATCGGACTCTTCCTGGCTCGATAAGTCCGCCGCGTCTGTCGGCGGTACCACGTATGCACCATAATACACGTCGGCTATCGAACGGCCCCCAGCGACTCCGACGAACCGCTACAATGATCCGGCGATCGAAGGCCACTTTTCTACCTGCCGCCGCAAGAATTTCGCACCTTCCCTCTCCGTCGCGGAATGAATTTCAAGAACTTCAAGCGAACGAATCTCCAACTTTTAACGCTGACGTATGTATAATGAGTTTTTCCCCGGCGTACCTTCTCACGCAGAATCCAGAAAGCGTAATCGAATTTCTTTTTTCCATCAATGTCCTTTTAATAAATAAATAAATGTAATTTAAATTTTATAAAATCGTGACACACAGTCGCTAATAAAATGACTTATGTCCATCTCTACTAACGTAGATTAACTTTCTCGGTTTAAATTACTTTTTATCTTTTTCTAGTTCTAAGAATTAGATTAAGGCTCCGTTCCGATATTCACTGGCAGTAAAATCTATTGTTACGTCACATACACTATAGATTTTCAGTACTGGCAGCGAATAACGGAACACAACCTGAAGTTAATCTGCATTGATAAAAATGGATATTAAAGAATTAATACGAAATGCTGAAAAGCTGAAAATGTGAACGACTATTGTCGCAATCTACTCGGGGAATGGCGAGGAGAACGAGGAAGCGAAAGCGGCACGGCAAAGTCGTGCTTCGCGATTGCATAACGGTTTTTAACGACGTCTGCACGCAAAAATTAATTCGGGGCCGATTTGTCAGGCGAGACCCCGTTGGTCTCGTCGCGGCGAGGGTAAAGATGAAAAAAGATACTCGAGAAAGCCGGCCATTAAGTCGCGCATAGCCCTCGCGCGCTCGCCGAGTACCTACTTGCGCGTCGGGATTATTTTTGCATTAATGCCCCGGCCGTTTTGTTGCGCAAGCTCCTGTTAACGATCCCCCGCCGAGGACGCGCGGCGGCCACCGGTGACATTTGAGAGGAACAGAGGAAAAGTGGCCGAGAGCTCGCTCGGCTGTATTTATCGCCGAGCGAAGTCTCACGACTTGTCGTAGGAGAATAAAACTTGCAACCACCACCGCGGTGCGGTGGCTACACAACCAACGGTTTCGCCGAGGAGGCGAAAACGAGAAAAGAGAACGGGACGGGAAATAAAAGAATATGAAGAGAAAGAAAGAGTACGTTTAAAGTCTCGCGAGCTGTCTCTTCTTTTTGGACACTCTAGAACGCTTTATTTTCTCAGCAGGTGTACACGTCGCGCGGATTTGAAATAACTGAGACGAAAATTGCCGCAAAGTGGAAAACAAAAGGAGCGGTTGTTAAGCTCGCTCCGACGGGACTGTCCGTCGTAACCGTTAATTTGTAACAATGAATCACCGATATCGCCGCTTTAATACCGCGGTATCGCATTTCGCGAAATGACGCGAGGTGCCGTCTGTCCTTTAGCCGCGCGTTTTTGCAGCGGAGTCCGCGAGGAGAGTCCGACATTATCGCGGAGCGGCAATAATAGCGCGGAGTAAATTATCCGTGATTTGCGAGCGTCGTAATGCGCGCGATTAACATTTTAATAGGTGAGTTTTATTCGCGCGGCCGTAGTGCATCGCGCGACCGCGGGACATTTATGCGAGTCGCCTGCGTGCGCGCGTAAATTCTCTCCCTCTTTTTTTTCCCCTAACACAGTTTTCTTTTTTTAGTCATGATTGTTTCGCGTCCCGAAGTGACCAAGGGAGACCGAGGTCGACCGAGGGTGGCGTCGAAACGTTGCATTTTAAAAAGGCAGAGCTCGTCAGAGGCCCTTGGCATTTGACGCGTAGGTACATCTGTTAACCGCGTTGTTTTGTTAGTCACCAGTCTGAAAAACGACTCGTTAGCGGCGATTTAGTCGCCTTTCGCGCGTCGAGACAGAAAAACAAAGAGAAAGCGAGAGAGAGAGAGAGAGAGAGAGAAATACAGGAACGCTAACGAAAAATCAGAAGGTCGTTGAAGGAGCGGAAGTCCGCCGCGCGCCCCGCTTGAGCTCGACACGCTAGAATTTAATTTGAGGGTATACACTCAAATATGTATATTTTAGACAAAGCGATGGAAAATTTTCATCTGCGAGAGCGCAAAAGAATAGACTCCGGAAATTCTAAATTTAACGATGAGATCTTATAACCCGCGGGAACGTGCTCCAGGAATAATTTGCAGCAAAGGCGGTCACATGTACTCAATGAAAAGCGGCTTCCGGGACTTTTCCAGATGAGTTGAAACGAGCGGGCTTCCAGCAAATCAAGCGATCTGGGTTGCGTGGAAACTATCGAAGAGGACCATGCAAGAGAAGTATATCGTGTGTGTATACATGTCCATGCGTATGTGTGTATGTATTTCCGTGCTCGTTTGGACAATACGACAAACAATTTTTTTTTGGCAGTACAGTTCTGGCAGTACACCACTTACAGGGATGGAGGCGGGCTTGTTGACCACGACGACGTCCTCGTCCATGTGTATCACCGTGATCGGCTCCGAGGTGACAGGCACCTCGTGTCTGCAACACACCAATCGCAACCAGCTTAACGTGGCTTTGTTCCGTTTGCGCTTACACGTCTCGCACACACACACACACACACACGCATACACACACGTACGTGGTGCACGTACGTTGACGTACACGTATACACACACGCGCACACATACACGCGCGCGCGCACACAGACACACATTCGTCATACACGCGATAGACGCATCGAAATGCTGGGTAGTTCTCGCATGAGCAGACAGTACACCCATGGGAAGTACCGTCGGCCGACTTGGATTGAAGCTAACCGATAATCAAGACGGATAGGTAGGTAATTACAGTAATGTCGGAAGAGAAACGGCGGCGCGCCGCCGGTCGATCGCCGATTGATAGTCACAAACCGCAACTTATCGCGATTCGGCAATCAACACCCGCTGCGCCTTTTCGCGATTCTATTCACGTGCGGATCGATTGCATACATCATCCGAAAAGGCGGAAAAATCGTACCGATTGCGTTTTTAAGCGTGCAAAAAATACTCAAGGGAGCGAACGTTGAAAACAGGGTCGTGAAAATACAGCTGCGCTTTTATCTAACGTTGAGATAAACGGGCGAAGAGGGTGGTTCCGCGAGGTGAGACGTAGGGACAGAACGAAAGTGGGAGCGAGAGAGGAAAAGGAGGGAGGAGGTAAAAACCGACAAAAAAAGAAAGACGAAATAAATACGGCGGGTGGATGCACGTGCATGCGGCGGCCCCAATTATGAGTTCCATCTACCTAATGCATTTCCACTCCGCAAAACTACGGTCGCACCCACTACGTGTCCTATGCACGTGCATTCTCTCCGCGAGAACAATAAGGAAACCTCGGCCAAGAAAAAAAAATAAGTGGATAGAAAGAGAAAGAAGGAGAGAGAGAGAGGGGGAGAGAGAGAAGAGAGAGAGCCTTCGGCGCATCGAGATTGGATTTGCAAAATCTTTCCCCGTCACATTGCAAAGTGCCTCATTCGCGATAAATGGCGTTTGCGATGAAGGCCGGATAGCTGCGAATATCGGATAAAACACGTGACAAACAGAATTCAATTTGGCGAGCAAGACGTTCGCAAACTTTATAAATTGCGACGCCCGCGGTGAAAATCCCGGCGGGCCCGGACGCGCGCACCTCTCGAAAACTAATCGCGAATCGATGCATCGTTAGCTCTCCATTCTCACGTAAATCGCCCCGGAATAGATCCCGGCGAGTCGCGTAGACGTTGGTGGTGCGCTAAGATCCACGAGAGATATGTTATTAAATCATAAAAGTAGATCGAGGGCAAATTTATATAATGGCATTTCGTGGCTGAGCTGAAAAGTTTGCTCCTCGAAAACGTAAAATTGCATCCCTTTCGGCCGGTGTTAATCTAATTATCCAGGATTTAAATAATGAAGCGCGATTTTACTCATCGACTCTCGTTCTATTGCATCTCTAAGGTCGCCTTGTCCTTATTACGCGCATTATTACACTGCAAATCCAAGTGTGTTATTTTTACACGCGTAAACGTGTAAAAATGACACGCTATAGACTGAAGCCCTTTTTACATGTTTTTTTACGTGTTAAATTACGTCATTTAACACGTTAAATTGTAATTAAATTGAAAGTTAATATGTTCAATCGTGTTAAATGACGTGCTTTAAAACAGCGAGAAACGTGTAAGAGGAGCTTCAGCTAAAATAACACACTTGCAGTGTACATTGACAAAAAAATCACGATATGTTAGTCACGCACTATATTCTAACCTTTTAGCACTGCTCTATCGGTTACGCACAAAATATCTATTGTTCCATTTCCCTTTCAAGCGCTAGGTAGAAATCATTGGAAAACCATCACGATATAGGATATACATGTATACTTATCCTGAGGCACATAAGTAATCGGAGCGCCTCTTACAGTCTCATTCGACATATTCTTCCGTTCCATGTGTCCTCGGAATTTTCTTTCGGGAAAATAATTGACGTTTCGCACACGAGAGCCGAAATATATGTACTACGTATACAAAATCGAGAATATGCAACTTCTATCTTCCAATTGGCTGACACGATATTATGCAACCTCACAACGAAAGGCAATAAATCGCTTCCGACTCGTAAATCACATTTCCGCACCAAACATTTCGGGTTCGCCGCTCTCAAAGTATCTCTTCGCCTGTGCATACATACACGCGCGCGCCCCGTGTACCTTAAAGTTCGCGACGGAATTTCGAAGCGTGTCACGTGAAGGGAACATTAAATCATATATATATTCCGTTCCGTCGAGATGGCGTCAGATAACACGACGTTGCGCGCCCGTGAAGTGTAACGATTCTCTCATACTATCTTTAGTGTGACACCGCGGCAACAATTTCAGGTGCATCGCCGCTTTCACAGACTCGCCATTAAATTTAACAAATGGAGACTCAAATACTCCATTTGCCAGATTCTATAACCTGTAGGTAACGACATTAGCGAAAATAAAGTTCACGTTTTAACAAATAATACGATATTATAAATATTATAAATCAAATGTATGAAATATCCGACTCCTGTATTTCAGATCCAATTGACAAAGTTATTTGATACGCGACGAGTCGCGGTCTCACATTGAGAGCCGCCGCCAGCCATCAGCTCTCTCTTTGTCCGAAATTCTGTTATTTCGTCTGAAAGCATTCTCGAGTTAACTATATCCATTAAAATGTCGCGTGCCACAGTTCTTCGCCTATCCGTCTCGCCGTCGTTCGCTCGCGTGACATTCGAAAGGTGCGACGACATAACAATCGGTTTGCGTGCCACGGTGCTCGTCGGGAACGAGCGACGTCCTGAGTGCGCCATCCAAATTTAACGCGGGTCACATGCCGCAGCGACACACAGCTACGCGTCGTCTCCGGACAAGATATACGCGCGCCGAGAGGACAGAGATCGCAACGAGCGCGGCGATATGCAAGAGCTATATATTATTACGGAGCCCCGCGGAGGAGCGCGGGGGAATTATTGTTTGCTATGTGTTTGCTAATTCGGCAAGACGATGCCGCGACGGCCTGCCGAATTTATTTTCGGCCCAGTCGACCGCAATAAACGGCACCTCGCGAAAACACGAGTCCCGGATGATCGAGGACGGAGGGAGCGCGTCAAGCACCCAGTCGCTTTGACAGATTCCTTCGCGTTAATTTAACGCGCCGCGACTGACCGCGGCCGAGAGAGGCTGCGGGCGAAAAAGATCGCGTTCCGCTGGACCGATATCTCGTTACAAGCGGAATCATTGTGAGCGAGGTTTTGAACAATTAACCAGAATGTACGGGACGCATGTTTGCGTTATCACGCGCGTGTTACGTTTCCCAGCCGCTTCGACGTCGCGGATGAGAGATATGGACGCGTTAATTGCACACGTCGGGTCACACGAGGAAGCTTTGCCGAAATGATTGTTGCAGCGCGTATACGCTTTTCCGCGACCGCGACGCGCCCGGTTGCGAATAAATCGGCAGAAATCCAAGAAAGCGTACGGAAAATGATTTTATAATGAATGAATTTAGCGAAATTTCGGTGCACACCCGCGCGAGTATGTAGGTAGTTCTATATATGAATCGAATAATATTGACTCTGCCGGCGCGCGGTCGACGTTGATGCACGGGGCGTTCCCGATATTTTCCGTTCAAAACGAATGTTTATTTTGCCGATTTTAAATTCTATGCGAATCATATGCAACGTCTATTTATATAAATATTTGAAACGTGTCACACAGCTCCATTACGCTTTATTTTTTACCGCACTATTTGGTGATCAAATGTGTAGGGGATTTATGTTACTGTAAACAGGAATGTTTATAGAATTATACGTAACGTATACCTATATTTGCATAAATTTCTATATACAGTCCTACATTATAACTAAATAATATTGACTCTACCTTCGCAATCACGCATTGCTATTTCGCTATGCGAACCGATGTTTACGTAACTCGACGTTTATCGCTCTATTATCTATTTTATAATGCGGATGGATGTGGAAGTTTTTTATCAGCTTTTCACGATCATCCGCGCGCGTTCGCGCATCTACGTTCTTGTCAAAAATAATTTCAAGCGTAATGGAGCGCTCGTGCGGTATGCAATCTGCACAGGAGCGCGGCAAACGGGAAAGCTTGCGACATCAAAATTTCAAGGCGCATAATTTCGGTGTAACAGCATCAATGGTACGCAACGTGTGCGAGGGAAAAGCTTTACGCGTCACGTTACGCGATCGAGATACGCGGTCACCGTCGACCCCTTGCGCGCACTCTAATTAATACATAACTCACATAATTAATATATGAATGTAATCGCGTTCCGAGTTCCACCGCTATAACCCCTCGTCGCGACCGATCATAACGGCAAACAGCGAGGGAGAGAGAGAGAGAGCAACATCTCCCTCCCGCTTGTAATTGTATCACTCCGTGTTTCGGAGCGGAGCCGCTTCCGAGGAGATTTCGTCGACTGGGCTAAATTTATGGTAACGATATTCTAACGAAATCAGCGTGAGTCGCCCCGTGGGAATTCACCGACGATCAACTTTTACGTAACGAGTCATCATCGGTCGCTAGATTACATCTCCGTGAAACATCGATCGAATCTGCCGTCAGTTTTTACTTACGTGCACGAATCTTCAATGCGAGGAGATTTTTAAAGAAGCTACACGAGAGATATCCGTTCAATACTAATGCTATTTTCAGACAATTGCACGTTTATTACCGCGCCTTTATTATAATTCTAATGTCTCTATCGTAAAATCGTTACCAGCTGTCATTTGGGGTAACGACGTATTCAATAAAATCGCGACTGTTCATCGAGAACCGATGTAACTGCGGTGCTACTACCTTCCGCCGTGGAACCAGTAACAGCTTCATGCATGAAACATCGATTCGGTCCAATACGCTTTGATGTGTCAAAGCGATCTCTGCTTATCGTGGAGACCGCAGCTAGTGACTATTCGAATTCACCCGTCCGAACTATCAAGTCCTATACCGGGACGAATGCTCGTACAATGAATAAC